TGGCGCGGGCGGGGCTCCGAGGCTCCGAGGTTCCGGGGTTCCGGGGCTCCGCGGCTCCGGGGCTCCGCGCCGCCGGCCGCTGTGGTATGTGGCGGCCGAGGTTCCGTTGTGAGCATAGCTGTGTTACGGGTAGAACCGTGCCGACCAGACGGAGGAGCCGCCGGCCTCGAGCTCCCGGCGGCCGCGGGCGTGCGGGAACGGGGCAGGGCGGGCCGGGGAGAAGCGGCCTCGGCACAGGTCGTGGAACCCGCCTTCTCCTGCAGTGAAGGCGCCCGCGCCGCAGCGCTGCTGTCCTCCCGGGACGCCGGCATCCGAGGACGCGTCTTTCCTTAACTCGGAGCCTCAGTCGTCTTAGCGGTGAAGGACTGACCTGCCTCAGCGCTTTAATAGTGTAAGATGAGATGTTTGTTGAAGATCACACCTATCTCTTGAGATTAGGAAAGGATTCGTTAAGAAGTTAGCTTTTGAGATTTGGCATTAACGAGGAGAGTAAATGAGACTGACAAGGAAGAAGAAAGGTTATTCCAAACAAAGGGTAACATTGAGTGAAAAAAGGAGCTGGAAAGTGTTTGCCAACATGGGATCTAATCTGATTAGAATTTAGGCTCATGAGAGGAAATGGGGATCAATAGATCTGGAAAAAATAGGAGGCCCATGGAATATGTAGACTTTAAAGAAGGGAAAGATAAAAAGAGAACTGCTCTAGGGAGGGGAGAAAGGTGTCTGGAGGTTGGAAAGCTTGATCCATTGGGAAATGAGAACGTTAGCATCATTGACAGAAGTAGAAATCAGGAGGAGCTGGGTCAGGTGCAGATAATGCGTTAAAAAACGACAAACTTTTTTTTTAAAAGGATGCATTCGTTTGGGCAATGAAGGATCTGAAGTGTCACCTGAATATCTAGGTTTGGACATCCAGAAGACAGTTCGAAATCCATTTATTCAACAGTTTAAATTGAACACCTATTGTGTTCTAAGCCCTAAGTTAGGTGGTGAGGAGACAGAGATAAGGTCTAGTTCCCACAGTCAAGGAGCTGATGGTTCAGAGATTCAACCTTATAACAAACTTTTACAACAGAATGTGAGGACTCGGAATGAGGTCCTCGGGGAGGGAAGCATCCAGTCGGCCAAGAAGGGACTAGGCATGGTGTTATGGCCTGAATATTTGTGGCCCCCTAAATTCATGTGTTGAAGCCTTTACATCCAGAGTGACTGTATTTGGAGATGAGCCCTGTAAGGGAGTAATAAAGAGTAAGTGAGGTCATAAGGGTCCAAAGGCAAGAAAAAAGCTGATGTCCATCTAAAAGCCAAAAGGCAGGAAGAATTCTCTTACTCAGGGAAGGTCAGTTTTTTAAAATTCAGGCCTTCAACTGATTGGATGAGGTCCACCCACACTAGGGAGGGCAATCTGCTTTAGTCAGACTACCAATTTAAATGTTAATCTCATCCCAAACACCCCACATACATATCCAGGATAATGTTTGACCAAATATCTGGACACTCCGTGGCCCAGTCAAGTTGACACATAAAATTAACCATCACAGTTATGTTTCAGTAACTTAAAGCCTTTAAATAACTAGATTCTGATAAGAATAAATTCAGGAGGATAGAACAGGGAAAATGCCTTCTGACTTTCTACTTGCATGTAATGTCACATTCTTTACTATTAAAATTTTTCAATGTATCTTCAATCATGGAGATAGTCTTTCAGTCTATACTCGGTAATATTAATGCTTTTTCACTTGAGGTCAGCCATTTCGTTCTTGTAAGGATAAGGATAGTTTAGAGCTAGAGATGAATAAGGTTCTCCATGGCCTATTAGTTTCCTTAATTGTTTCGTAAATTGTGCAAAATATAGTAGCATTCCGTGAAAAGAGATGAACTCCACACGTTTCCTCTGTGAGAATATTTATCACAACTTATTGAAATTATGTAGTTCATTATTTCAACAAGGACTTATTGATACCAGAATGTGTGCAGTGGTTAAAAGCATGGACTTTAGAGCCACATTGCATGGGTACTTATCCACTTAGTAGTTATGTTGCTGTAGCAAGTTACCTAAACTCTCTGTGCCTCACTCTCCCAGTTTTAAATGGGCATAAAAATCTGCATGTGTGTATGTGAATATGTATGGTTAGATAGACTGCTAGATACTGTTTAACATCTGAAACATAGAAAGCACAATAAAAATATTAACTATTATTAGAGGTTTTGAATATACAGCCTAATTTCATTTTCTTCATGATACCCTGAGCAAGTTGATTTTTTTTCACTAACCATTTACAGTTGAGACAACTAATGCTCAGAAAAATTAGGTACGTATGCCCATAGTCATACAGCTAGCAGCTAAGATGAACCTATTTGGTTCCCATATTATGCTATTTCCATGATATTTTGCTTCTTTCCAGTATTTATAGAATGTAATTTAATTAAATAGAATATAATTAAATAGAAAAATGGTTGAATGAAGGAGATGTGTAATGCAAGAGATAAGAAAGGTCATTCTACCTTCCCAAAGACAGACTCAAAGCCAAAGCCACTAGGGGGCACTATGCAGCAGGACAACAGGCAGAGAGGGTCGTTTCTTCATTTTTCATTATTTGCTCATTATATGACACCAGAATATGTCACCCCAAAAGATGCTGCTTTGACATGAGTATTATTTTGAGCTGAAGGCACTTGAGAAGAAGCCAATATAAGAAAAATTCTCTGCCCTCCCCCTTTGCCTAAAAACAGGACACGAATTTGTAAAGGTGCCCCACCTTTCCTCTCTACCAGGAGGGACAGAGTTAATCACCAGCAGCAACTCTAGACCCCATCAGTCCAGAGACAGCACTAAGCAGTCCTTACCTTCTGTTGGTTCTGTCATGTGTTTAATTTCCCACAGCTTGCTGCCGTAGAAGTTCTTTTCCTTTGTCTCCAAAAATGTGTTGTTCTTTTGTTAAGATGCTGTATAAGCCCAAGTTCTGCAACCCCTTTGAGTTACTCATCACTGAATGTTCCCATGTGTATGCATAATACACATGCTCATAAACTTCTGTTTATTTTTCTCTTGTTGGTCTGTTTTTTGCCAATGTAATTTACAGAGCCTCAGGCAAAGAACCTAAAATGGGTAGAGGAGAAAGTTTTTCCTTGCCTCCAGCACAGAAATGGATACCTAATGTTATGAGTTAACTGACTGTCCATTTAATTGATACCTTTAAATTAGATGTCATTAGATGCTAGAACAATATGAAAGTGCTTCTGCTTCTCTGAGGGTCCTGTTATTTATTTATTTCACTTTACACCGCCTAGCCCTCTTTATAAATTTAATTATCTTGTGGCTAAGTGCATGTCTACACAAAATCGGTAGTTTCAAAAGTTACAGCCATAGTACCATAGCAGTATATGGTACATTCAAACCTTGGAAATGCACATTCTCAGTGTTTCAGAAGCTACGTACTACTCCTACTTGAAGAACTAGAATTTGTTAAAATTATTTTGATTTGCTGTTAACCCACTGTGTTGACTATTTTAACCTATTACTTAAGTATCTTTGACATTCAGGCTTAGAATCTGGCCAGCATATCAGGGCTGAGATAAATTGGTTAAAACCATTAGATGCCAGTAGTATGTTAATTCCAAAATGGATGTAAATTAATTCTGTAAAATGTGGGTGAAATAGAATATTGGATTGATTTAATTGATGAGTCTGAAAAATACACAGGAAGATTAAAATACGCACACATGTACACAGCACAAAGTCTGGGATATACCAATTGAAAAAACCCTTAGTCTCTTAAAATTTCTTATATAGATGTGTGTATGTGTACATATAACCTCTTCTGTTTGCTTTTGACTTTTCTATAACACTGACTTTAGAACAGTGCTTCTCAATTGGGGTAATTTTGCCCTCCATGGAGACATTTGGCAATTTCTGGAGGCATTTCGGTGGTTGGTTTGGAGAGAGCTGCCCTGCCACTGGCATCTTAGTGGGTAGAGGCCAGGGATGTTGCTAAATATCCTACTATGCCCAGAACAGCCCCCTACACACAAAGGATTATCAGGCCCCAAATGTTAGTTAAGCCAATGTTGAGAAACCCTGCTGTAGAATAATAACCTGATCTTTATTAGTGTTTGTCAAGGTTAATTCTAGGTGTCAACTTGATTAGATTAAGGAATACCAGGAAACCTGGTAAAGCTATCTTTTTTAGGTGTGTCCATGAGGGTGTTTCTAGAAGAGATTAGCATGACAACCTGGAGTGGACTGGGTGGGAAAGATCCACCTTACTATGGACAAGAAACATCCACTCCTCTGAGGACCCAGAAAACAAAAAATGAAGATCTGCTGGAGCTGGGATATACTCTTCTCTCCTGTTCGTGGACATCAGAGCTTGAGACTTCAGCTTTTGGGTTCCAGGACTTTCACCAGGGACACCATCAGCTTCTGTGGTTTTGAGGCCTTTGGACTTGGACTGGGCCACATTACCAGCATATGGTTTTCAGATGGCCCATCATGGGACTCCTCTTCACAATTGCATGAGCCAATTCCTCAGTAAATCCCCTCTCATATATTTATAAACATATCCTATTGGTTCTGTCTCTCTACAGAACCCTGACTAATACAGTGTTATGTAAGTGTAATTTATCAACTCGGTGGCCCACTTTTTTTAAGGTTTTTGGTCCAGGTTAAATTCCCTCTGCCTCCTAATACATTGCCAGGTCAAATGACTGCCAGCTCTTCTAAGCAGCTCTGAATTCACAAGCTAACAAAACTTTGCAATGCTAAAGTCAAAAAAGAAACAAAAAAAAAAATTTAGTTTTTAATGGAAAAATTTGCATGTAACAGATTACTTTAAAAATATAAAAAATATCCACACATTAATTTATCATAAGTTTTAAAGAAATTTTAAAATCCTTAAGAAAAGGCCACTTCAAGGTGTTATCAGAGCTTTGGACCAAAGATCCATGTTCTGTGTAACTTTGGGCAAGTCAGGCATGTTGCCTGGACTTAATACCCCAGGGATCATTAACTGTTGGAGGTTTTCTTAAATTTTTTATTTTGAAAAAAATTCCAAACATACAGAAAAGTGGCAAGAATATTACAAAGAACTATTTACCCGGATTTACCAAGTGTCACAATTTTGCCATATTAGTTTTAGCTATCAATTTGACCTGGTTATTAAGCTGTTAAACTATCTATCTATTTATCCTGAGCCATTTCCGAGGAAGTTGTAAACTTCAGATCCCTTTACCCTTAAATACTTCACTTGTGTATTCCCTAAGAATAACATCATTGCATTACACAATGTACAATTGTTACAATATCAAAATC